GGACTGGTGAGGGTGTTTGTGGGAGCTCTGGAGCCAGGGCTCCCCTGGATGCTGGTGTTTCTTCTAACTCTTTTGATGTTTCAGGAGCAGTTATGTCAGCTTGCTCTGGCTCTACCTCTGGATCTTCCTCCTGCTCCTGCTCTTTAACTTGATCTTTCTCTTCCTCTTTCTCCTGTTCTTTCTCTTGCTCTGGATTGTGATTGTTCTCCTGCCCTTTCTCTTCCTCTTCCTCTGGATCTTGCTCCTGCTCTACCTCTTGCTCTGGCTTGGGCTCTGAATCTCGCTCTCGCTCTGCCTCTGGCAGTGGAGGTGGAGCTGCAGCTGGAGCTGGAGCTGAACACAGAAGTAGCTCTTCGGACAGTTGTTCAGCCTGGGCAGAAGCTGGAACTGGAGAGACAACAATTGAAAATATCAACGTGGGTTTCTATGTCTCTTCCAATGACACTGTCGTTCTGAGAAGCCCAAGTCCAGAGACCCAGCCTCAGGAAGTCTCCCCACACTGCAGCACACTGCATGATTGTTCTGAGTACTCAGTGCCCCTGTCCCCAGCCTGCTTGTGGAAACTCTGCTCTGTGTGGCCCAGCCCAGCCTCCTCCCCAAACCCTCACAGGCACCCACCCTCTTCCTCCTCATCCTCAGTCTCCACTTCACTAGGCTCCAGGTGCTCCGGCTTCTCCAGCTGCGCCAGAAGAAGGTCAGCCTTGCGCTCCACCTCTGAACCCGGCATATTGATGTGTATGTAGGCTGACAGAAACTTCAAGGAATGAAATCCAGGAGGCTCGTGGAAATCAGTGGAGTAGAACTCCAGCCAGATGTTTAGGACAGAGGACATGGCACTGGGGGAGACAGGTGGGTAGCAGCGTCAGAGGCCTGGCCTATCCTTCTATGCTGCCCTCCCAGGGCTCCCCTGAGTGAGCTGCAGTCTTGGAGCCTCTGCCCCTGCCTGGCCATAGACCAGCCCCTCCAATGTCCACCTCCAGTATGGCAGACCTGGCAGAGATGGGCCTGGTGGCCAAG